CAACTCCTAAATTGAGTAGTGTGTGTGTATATATATATATAAATAAATAAATATATATATATGTATGTATAAATACCCCCACACACACACACATATATATATATGTGACCTTTTTAGCTGCTTGAAGATGTTTGTAATTCTATATACTATGAAATACTATATTTGTATCATTTTCTTTGTATTTATAGTTTATAGGTAAATACGGCATAGTTAAACATTTATAATAAATAAATATATATATATATGTATGTATAAATACCCCCACACACACACACACATATATATATATGTGACCTTTTTAGCTGCTTGAAGATGTTTGTAATTCTATATACTATGAAATACTATATTTGTATCATTTTCTTTGTATTTATAGTTTATAGGTAAATACGGCATAGTTAAACATTTATTTTTAAGATAGTTATTGGAAAATACAGTCAGGACTCCTGGGCCCTCATTTATCAAGAGTGCATAGAAAAAGTTCTATATTTTATCCTACAAATGAAATTTAGAATGTAAATACAAAAAAAAAATCCCTATTTATCAAACATGTGCACGTGGTTCTTACGCACACCAGTAAGTAATCTAATGTTTCGCTTGAAATATGAAATGATCAATTGAGCATTTGCAATTAAAAGACACAGGACACATGCGGCGGCACTTTCTTTTTGTAGTATCGTCATTCTACCACTAGATTCTCTGCATAAGCATGCTCAGAGATGTGCTTATATTTACACACATTCCTAAGTAATAAGTACAAGTTGGTAGATCCCACACTTTGCGTGAAACTGTTTTTATGCACTCACATCTGTGTACGCACTGTTGATAAATGAGGGCCCTGGACTATTAGCAATGCTGCCATGACATTTTGATCCTAAAGCAGGTTGTCCTCTTTTACAGGTTGACAAAGGTGTCGTCCCTCTGGCAGGAACAAATGGAGAGACCACCACACAGGGTAAGCTTACAGTTGCTGATATAATATTTGCTAAAATTGATGGCAATAATGATGTTTTGTTAAAGTGCTACCTGTTTTTCTTAAGGGCTTGATGGCCTGTCAGAACGCTGTGCTCAATATAAGAAAGACGGTGCTGACTTTGCCAAGTGGAGGTCTGTGCTGAAGATCAGCGAGACCACTCCTTCAGAGTTAGCCATCATGGAGAACGCTAACGTCCTGGCTCGCTACGCCAGCATCTGCCAGCAGGTGAGCTCATTAAGTCTTGGCTGTCTGTGCGTTCATCTTAAAGGCAAGCGGTGTTGTTATTGTTTATTAAAACTAAAACTATTATCTGAATCGTTAATTGAAAAAATAAAGCAGAAATTAAATCTAAATATTAAAAACCAAAAGAATGTTTTTGAAACGTTGCGGTGAAAACTAGCTGAATTAAACTGACAAACTAAAACTTAAATAAAAAGAAAGCTAAATAGAAACTTTTTCAAAAACTGTGGTAAAAGCATATAATATGACTCAAACTAAAATGAAAATATTAAATTCAAAATATGAAAAAAATACTATAATGGTATATAAATAATACTAATGCATAGATATCAGAGATAAGATTTAACCAATGGAGTGTGACTTTTTTGACGTAATATTGTCCATTTGGATTTTCAGAATGGGATTGTGCCCATTGTTGAGCCAGAGATTCTACCTGATGGTGACCACGACTTGAAACGCTGCCAGTATGTTACAGAGAAGGTAGGTACATAAAAAGTGACATCAATTTATAGCATTCAAACAAGACTTGATTTAATGTTGAAACGTACTATATGATTAAATGTACTAACCTTTTCTTTATTTCCCATGTGTCTCCAGGTCCTTGCTGCCTGCTACAAGGCCCTGTCTGACCATCATGTCTATCTGGAGGGAACTCTTCTGAAACCCAACATGGTGACAGCTGGACACTCCTGCCCCACCAAATTCTCCAATGAGGAAATTGCCATGGCTACAGTGACAGCCTTGCGCCGTACCGTTCCCCCCGCAGTAACCGGTGAGTCACGAGTCTAATGGAGAAACCTCAGCTGTGCTTTGAAGCTTTAAGAATGTGGAGCGTCATGATTTAAGAGCGCCATGACGTAGATAACAAAAGGAAATGGCATGTTTTAAAAAGTGTGAGCAGTGAACACTATGTGGTGAGTTGAATGTATTTTGAAATTCCTCTGGCAGGTGTGACATTCCTCTCTGGAGGTCAGAGTGAGGAGGACGCGTCTATCAACTTGAACGCCATCAACAACTGCCCTCTGACAAAACCCTGGGCCCTCACCTTCTCCTATGGACGTGCCCTGCAGGCCTCAGCCCTCAACGCCTGGCGCGGAGTCAAGGAAAATGAGAAGGCCGCCACAGAGGAGTTCATCAAGCGTGCTAAGGTCAGTTGATCAAATCCTTTTCCCATTAAGGTGCAGTCACATTTGGCAAAATTTCACATTAACAAAAGGCCTATTGTCAGTAGAGTAGCACAGTATGAAGCATAGCTCACACAGAAGTCACTTCCAAACCGAGCAACTTTCTGTTGGCCAACGCGGTTCATCTGTGTGACCAACTTGAATCAGTTGCGAAATTTGTGTATTGCACAAAATTCCTGAACACTTGGATTCCCCTTGAAATTAATTAATTTTGCCCACGAAAATTCGGCAAACACTGGCAAATGTTGCTGTCCCTAAAGCAAATTTTATTTTTACCCAAATCAAATGCATTTTTTTAAATTGTGGAAATTTCTGTAGTCAATATAATTGAAATAATGCTTTATAAATCAATATGTAAATGTGCTAATTTCTATGAAATAATCTTTATTTAATTAAAATTTGTATTTTGTATACAGATGATAATGCTAATATCTTTAAAATGTTTATCTGCATCTTTTCATAAATCATGAACCGCTAAATGTCATGTAAATTCATAGGTAATATCTTTAAATTATAATTTAAGGGCTTTTTTAAAGAATAATTATTTAGCACATAATATTAGTGATGTACTGAAATTACAGCAACCAAAAATATTCATCCATAACTGCAAAAAAAAAAAAAATAATAATAATAAAAGAAATATATATATATATTTATTTTTTGCTGTTATGGCTGAATATTTTTGGTTGCTGAAATTTCAGTACATCACTAATATTATGTGCTAAATAATTATTCTTAAAATTATTCTTTAAAAAAAGCCCTTATAAAATAATTATATATATATATATATATATATAATTTTGGTTTTCGGTTTAATTTATAAATTCATTTTGGTCCATCACTACTGTATTAGTACACATATTACTAATTTGAGGACAATTTTTCTAGTAAATACATGCATCGAGTATGTTAAAGTACTGAGAATCTAATGTAAACTTTAATATAGAAGGTAAATAGAATTATGTAAATATAATATATAATTTTATATAGAATATTATAACATTTAAATAATAAATAACAATATAATACTTAAAAAGAATATAAAATTGAATAACAATAGAACTAGGAAGTGAATCTGTTTAGAATTGTTGGGCTACAATGCTTTGATGTAAGGTCCGTCTAAAACTGCCGATTCAGGCAACATAAACTGACCTTTGTGAACTTTCCTCAGGTTAATGGATTGGCTGCTCAAGGCAAGTACGTCTCCTCTGGAACCGGTGGATCAGCGGGACAGTCCCTGTACGTGGCCAATCATGCCTACTGAACATCCCGTATCCCATCGTTCCAGCTTCCGCCAGCCAATAGTATAGTGCACAGCTGCTACCCTTCCTGTCACCAACCAATCACAGGCCTGCGCTGTCTTCTGTACTTTAGGGTTGTCATTGCAGTGTCTCTTAATGTATCTATTTAAAATGTATTAAACTTTAAGAATGGAGAGGAGAAATAGAAAGGTATGCAGGAGATTGTTTTATTTTTTGAAATATTCAAAGCGTGGTTTCATGCTACAAACAAGAAAACAGTATTTTTTGTGGCCCGTTTTAAATGGATGTATATGTATATCAGCCATTCTGTTTTTATCATTCCAACATAAGTCATTCCAATTCAGGCACCAGCCACTCAAGTTGACTTGTCACATTCCTTGCAGTGCAGTATGACCTCATCATGATGTGAATACTGAGTTCAGATCGGTGTGTATGCCAGCAGGGGCAGTTTATTATAATAGGGAATGAAACCGAGTAATATATTATTGTTATGATTAACTCCACCAGACTCCAAGGAATATTATTTTGTGTTGTTCACATATAATGTTAATGCATTGTCTGGGCTGTGTGATTACTGTCCAAGAAATTTAATATAAAATACTAACAATATTAGTTTGAAAAGGACCATTATTTTGAAATTGTACTCCGTTGTGTTGTGTGCTTGAGTGTATCATGCTCTCCCTCTCCTCCCCGTATTTGTGACACAGTGCTACATGAATAACTAATATTGGTTGTAAACGGCGGAGCGTACCAAACTGGAGCTTTTGGGGAGGGGAGCACTCACCGCTCTGTTGACAAAATGTGATCTTGTGATTTGATGTTGTTCTCTAAGCACTTCGTGTGTCAGATGGTAAAAACTAAAATAAAATACTGTAACATGCCAGATGCTGTTTGTCATTATTATGCAGGTGCATCTCAATAAATTAGAATGTCGTGGAAAAGTTCATTTATTTCAGTAATTCAACTTCGTTATAAACCTGCATGACTTTTTCTTTTTTCTTCTGTAGAACACAAAATCATATTTTTAATTTTTTTAATTTTTTTGATGGTAACCAAAACAGTTTTTTAACATTATTCAAAATATCTTATTTTGTGATTTGCAGAAGAAATAAACGCATATAGGTTTAACACGAAATGAGAATGAGTAAATAAAGACTTCATTTTTTGGGGAGAACAACTAACCCTTTAAAAGTGGCATTATTTTTAACTGCAAAGTGCTGCAAACCAGATATAATAAATCGGCTTTTTAAGGAAGTGAGAATGACACTAAACCCGCCCCCTTTAACTCTGATTGGAGGCTTCCGTGCCCTCTGTCGTCTGATTGGATAGAATCCTCCAATAGCGGGTTATGCGGTAGTTATTTCACACAGCAATGGCAGCCCTGCAGCTTGGTGAGTCCTGCTTTAATTCAAAACGATTGCCTCATTTTGCCTTCGAAATTATTTCAGTGTTCACGTATTTTTTTCCCCACAATTGTTGTATATTTAAAAGTGCATTACACTAAAGCCAAATGTCAGCAGCTTAGTTATGTTAAGCATGTTTTAAGTCAGGGTTGGGTCACTCACTATGTTTTTGTGAATGAATAATTTATATTTTATGTTTTCCACAATTTCAATGAATATGTAGCTCCTATTTAGTCTTATTTCTTACTGTTTCATTTTGGTCATAGCAGAAATGCAGCGAGGGCGATATGCTGCCCTTGCCATCGCTGCAGTGGTCATTGTGGTGGGCATCCCACTTTGGTGGAAGACCACCGAGACCTACCGCGCCTGGCTCCCTTTCTCTGAGATCAGCGAACTCGACTCCCTCCAGGTAACACGCACTTCGTCCTTCCTCAAGACAGAATCATCTGTTAGTTCAGCAATGACATATTATCGTGTTTTTGACAGCTTCAGCTAAGTGTTGATATCGAGGTGGTCTTCTCGCGAGGAACACTGACCCCAGAACAGCAGAAAAAGTTTCCACTTAGCCATGTCAATCAAAAGGAGCACCAAGTTGATGGTAAGTAATCAATTTCTGAAACTATTTGGAAGCTTCATCATAAAACTAATTTAAAAAAACAAAGAACAGAAATTTTGATCCAGAACAGAATGCATTGCTCTCTTTTCCTCTGAAGCTAAAACAGGTTTGCGGTACAAATATGAAACCAGATATCGCACTGCCACTATAATGGAGGAAGACGCCTTGAATCAGCCCACTGCTGCAGGTTGAGTGGATTTATTGTTACTAGTAAATTATGATTTAAAGCGTCCATATGATGTTGCTAAAAAGAACATTATTTGGTGTAATGAAATGTGTTTATGCGGTTTAAGGTAAAAAAAACACATTATTTTTGACATACTGTACATTATTGTTTCTCCTCTATGCCCCACCTTTCTGAAAGGCGTCGATTTTTACAAAGATCATCGGTCTGAAAAGCGAAGTGTGCTGTGATTGGCCAGCTATCCAATGCGTTGTGATTGGCCGAATACCTCAAGCGTGTGACGGAAATGTTACGCCCCTCACCATACTGTTGATGCCGTGTCCGGCCGGAGCGACGAGACAAAAACATTAAAACCCATTACAAACGAGGCATTTGTTGCATCCAGTGGGGACATAATTACTGATTATAATGACTTATACTGTCTTTTTATGTGTTGCGTTGCATCGCGCCGCGTAAACATAAAACCATGTCTGCATTTGTGATCGGAGAAAGGACAAACAACAAGTGCTACTCTACACTGCTAAAAACTCGTGTTTGAATCATCAGTGGCAAATCCTTTAAATATGAAAACATGCTGGAAAAGGAAATCAGCATCTCCATAAAGCTTGTCAGCAGAAGGAAGCATGAAGGAAGCAAGGAAGCATGAAGTGCTCTAAAATGTCCTGGTAGATGGCTGCGTTGACTGTGGACTTCAGAAAACACAGTCTAATTTGAGATGCACCTGTAGTTTCGCTTTCACAACGAAACACACAGCGTCACACACGGTGGGAACCACATGTGACGACCCCGGGCTGGACTCCACTTCGTCCACGGTGAAAGCCGATCCGGCGATCCACAGCGCAAAGTTTATGTATTTCCTCAGCGACCAGCACGGATCAGCTCCAGGCATGACGAAGCAGATATCGTCCTCTTTTGGAAGACCAAACAAAGTACCATATTGACCCGAATATAAGACAAAAAATTTTTCTTGAAAAAACATCTGACATGTCAATAATACACCCACAACAATAGGTGGCGCCAAATACGCATAAAACGAGTGTGCCATGAAATAAATGCGTGTTGTAAAGATCGCGACCAAACTCTCTTTGTGATTTTAAAACGTAAGACAGTACCCAGATTTGAAGACTACAGTAAGATTGAACTTCTACTGTTAATACAATTTTGGTAGGCTACTATTAGATGGATAGCCTAAATGTCCTAATTCAGATGGGCTACCTGTTTTTTTTATGGTATATCAAAAAGTGTATATTTTTTAAATGTGATTGTTGGTACATTTGACCAGTTTTTACCATACTTTCAAAACAAAAATTTAAATGGGAAAAATATGCAATATGAAAATAATTGAAGACAAAATTTGTTTTACTGAGAAAAAAACAAGATTTGGTTTTTAAAAAGCCTTTTTCCAAAAGGTACATCTGGAAAAAGGGGGGTCGTCTTATATTCGGGCCAATACGGTAGTTTCGCTTTCACAACGAAACACACAGCGTCTTCACGACATGGCGGCAGCAACAATACTACAGCGAGAATAAAAGTTACGTCTTCTTTCTTTGTGTGAACATTTGGGCGGCGTTACGCAAATCTTCCCACAAAGTGAGGTAGATATGTGGGGGCGTGTTAGAACGAGCCGTTTTAGGTAGGCGTGGTTGACTCTTAACTTTTATAAAGAATATCTCTTTGGATTTGAGACTTCTGTCTTTGCAACTTTACAGATCTTCTTTATGCACCAAGAGCTTGTAATACGAAACATCTTATGACCCCTTTAATCAGTTATTTAATTATTTATTAATACCAGTTCAATTATATCAAATTTTAATGAGGATATATTGACTATACTGACAGATTATAGAATATTTTAATTGTTGTAATTCCCACTGACGGAAGAACAATTGCAATCACTTATACATTAAATATTCTTCTTCTTATCCATTATCATTTGCTTTCAGAGGAACCCTTAAAACTTGAATAGACTCCCAACAGAACTAAATAGTTAGAACTAATTCGTTATTGTGGTATCTTTTTAAAAAAAATATTTTAAATGGTTGTTGCTGTGAAATTGTGAACATGTATATGGATTTTAGTGTAAGCACTGAGATCTTTTTACTTTTTCCAATTACCTGCCCAGGCACTACAGGTGGAAATTGGCCATTGTGGCTAAATTTGGCACATTTTACATTGATTATGTGCATTATTAATGTGTATTGTCCCTGAAATATAGATAAAATAAAATAAAAAAGTATTATTATAGTAAATAGTAATTGTATTTGTGGAGTTATTCCAAACAAAAGCTAATTTAAAATGAGCTATTTTGGTTTTGGGTTTCTTCGGTTTTCTTTTTGTCACATCACTCATTTTTAAATGTGAATTAATTTTTCTATTGCTACTATGGAGTTTCTATCCCTGAGTTGCTTACTTCTCCCTCCAACAGAGGCAGATCTATCCTTACACATGCTCTCTGAGAGTTCTTGTGGGTCTGTGGTTGTATATGTGATCCCCGAGTCCGCCGCCCTTCTGCCAGAGGTAAGATTCAGAGCATTTCTGTATTTTTACATACTGAAATAACTTCTGAAGCTCATTATGCTCATTCTGGCTGTTTACTTTCAGGATGTGAAAGTGTACGTGGGGCAACGGCGCACTGCGCTGCTACGTTCTCCTCCCTTTAAAAGTTCTTGGAGTCTGAAGGAAGTCCTATCAAATCTGGACATGGAGGTGGAGCAAGTGGTAAGCACCATGTCCTTTAGTCACCAGGATATAGTAGCTGCCCTGAGCGACCGTGTCCGCATGGCCAAAGTGACTAAGGAGAGTATGGCAGACAGCATGCGGGCCATCAAATCCAGTCCTGGTGAGTATTATCCCTCATTTGGGCTTGTATTCTCAATAGCATACTCATTTAATTATCTTAATCTAATTTCGGCTTCTATTAGGCTACGAGATCACATTCAGTCTGCTCAACCCAGACCCAAGGTCACACAGTCTTCACTGGGATATCGAAGGTGCCGTTCAAAGCTGCATTCAGCCTTTATTGAACAAACTTGCCCCTATAGCCAACTTTTCAGTGGACTCTCAGGTGCCTAAGAACAATTACGTTGTAGTTTGTGTGGTCTCTAACAAATGTGACTCTTCACAGGGATGACGGAATATTCTGTACCTTGCAACGATTACAAATGTGTTAACCCATAGAGAATTTGCTGTACTGTTTATACAACAACAGATACATTTGCACAGCTAGTAGAGCTGCTTTGTGTTTTTACACAAGAGAAATTAAGAAACATGGAGTGGTGCGTGAGGATATTTTACAACATTAAGACTCATTCAGTCAGCATTTAGAGTCAGAATTTTAATAGTTTATAATATAATTTTTTTATATATATTTATTTTCTTTTTATATTAATGTTCTTTACACATTTCACATTAAATATGAAGTTGCTCACTAATGCCAGATTTTGTTTTGGTTTCCTTTAATTTAATTCCTTTAATTGGAATTTATTTAAATTTAATTTGATATATTGGTATTAATGTGTGGTTATTTAATATATCAACAGCTTTCCACTGAGTTCCATTGAGCAAACATTGAACAAATATTACTATCATTATGTATATTTATATCTTGTAAATAATAATTTGTAGTTCTCGTTTTTGATATAGTACTGGACTGCCCACCCAAAGTTCTCCTCTTCTATTTGTCACTTGTGTGTTCGTTCTTTTCAGATTCTGTATTATGCCGTTCTGGGTGTGAATCCTCGATTTGACAACAGTGTGTCAGCATATACACTCAGTGCAGACAGCCTGTCACATGTTATCAACCCTGTTGAGGCCAGACTAGGTGAGATTTGAGCTATAACTGATATGATCTGCTTTTAATGAATGGTTTTTATGCTCATGTAGATTCACACATTCTGGTATTCTCTTTCACACAGGTTCCAATGCAGCTTCCTCTAACCCTGTCTTGAACTTCCTGCTATATGTGCCAGATTCCCACCACTCTCCTCTTTTCATCAGAGACCACAGCAAACGGGAGGTGCCCTCTAACGCCTTCCACAGCCCTCGTTGGGGCGGCATTATGGTACTGTCCAGATATATTAACTTCCTTAATCTGTATGGCAGCAGCGTAATATACAGTAAATGAATGAATAAATCCACTGTTCTCTTGACTCCTCTGAGGCTGGGACTCGAGTGTTCTGTGCTTGTCAGATTTTCATGATATGTCTCCTTTAAATATTGTGAATTATATGAAATGACGTGAATGTGCTGGATGTTGCAAACGGGAATATGTCTTTTATCTGTCATCTGTGTCCCCAGGTGTACAATGTGAATGAAATGTACGGACCTGAAGCTGAACGTCCTGTAGATATCAACATTAATATGGCTAAAGTGATGGGTGTGTTTTTGGCACAGTTACGGTTAGTACTTTCACAAATGTAAGTAAAAATACCTGGTTTGCCCAGGTGAAAGTGTTTTATTTCACTTTCTTTATCATTTTGTTTCTAGGCTCATGCTGGGAGTGCAGCATACTCATCCTCCCACAGGCTTTGTGCTGCAGAGCCCAGGCAGCGCTGGACTGGCTGATTGGGAGCTGGACCGACTCCTGTGGAGCCGCAGTGTGGAGAACATCGCCACTGCCAGCACCACCATCACCTCGCTGGCTCAGCTCCTCGACCAGATTGGAAACATCGTCATCAATGACAACATCGCACAGCAGGTGGGAGGTCCAGATGTTCATAGTTCATCACATAATGAAATAGTTCCACTGTAACATTTTGTTCTGAACCATAGGAATTGTAAAATGCACACTTTTGCTATTATTTCTCGCACAGGTTTCCAGCGCAGTGACGTCGCTCCAGTCTGCTGTCGCCGAGTTAGAGGCTGGGAACCTGGCCTTTGCGCTTCAGTACAGCAGGGAGGCCATTTTGGCTTCAGAGAGGGCCTTTTTCGACCCCTCTCTTTTGCATCTTCTTTATTTTCCAGACGATCAGAAATTCGCCATCTATATTCCTCTTTTCCTACCCATGTGTGTACCTATTGTGCTCTCGCTACTGAAAATTGTGAGTGAAGCTAAGAAAAAGCGAGCAGATAAACAAGCCAAAAGTGACTAAGAAACCACGGCTTGTTTGATGCATACACACTAATGGCTGCATTTGTGTAGCATGTTCAAAAAACACACTGATTCATTAAGAGATGATGTGTGTGGTGTACATTTACATTTTATTTATTAGACCAATAGTCTAACTGTCATTGGATGAAAAAGAACTGATATGAAATCCGGATTATATGCTTAAATTTACGAAGGCAGCTGTACTGAACAATGAATGAGTGTGAATAAAAGTGCAGTGTGAAATTTGGTGTCTCTCTTTGTCCACTGCATGTCTTGTTTTAACAGTGTAACACTGGGTCATGATCTTAGTTTCATTTAGATTTGTGAGGAGTTAGTAGGCATATTGTGGTTTGTTTTTCAAGGGAATCATAGTTGCAACAAAAGTAAAACACAAGATTAAAAAAAAAATGATATAAAACATTCTTATGTTTATTGACATATTACAATAATTTCTCTGAATGGTTGGGTTGATGAGTGTTAACTTTAAAATGGGTTTGTATAGAGATCCAGGAATGATGCCATGTGAGAATTATTTTCAGTTGTATGAATTTCTAATGTGAAAACCTGATGTTTACAGTGGGTACGGAAAGTATTCAGACCCCCTTAAATTTTTCACTGTTTGTTATATTGCAGCCATTTGCTAAAATCATTTAAGTTAAATTTTTTTCCTCATTAATGTACACACAGCACCCCATATTGACAGAAAAACACAGAATTGTTGACATTTTTGCAGATTTATTAAAAAAGAAAAACTGAAATATCACATGGTCCTAAGTATTCAGACCCTTTGCTCAGTATTTAGTAGAAGCACCCTTTTGATCTAATACAGCCATGAGTCTTTTTGGGAAAGAGGCAACAAGTTTTTCACACCTGGATTTGGGAATCCTCTGCCATTCCTCCTTGCAGAGCCTCTCCAGTTCTGGCAGGTTGGATAAACACGCAAACAAACCAAGCTACATGCTTATGTGTTGCTAACGAATACACAAGAAGTCGATGTTATCTCTCTTAACTTATTACATGATATAAATACGTGTTTTATACGCAAATACTAGTCTTTTAAATTAAATGCTAATATGAGGCGCTGAAATCCGTCAGCTAGGTCATAACACGGAAGTTGGGAAGTTTAAGTAACGTTAACGTATCTAAGCTAACTTATATCAGCTAAGCTAAAATTCTGAGAAGTATTCAAAACTCTTAAGTATGCAGTATATTTTAATGAAATGCTCTAATTTTGTAAATACAATTGTACCATGTTTAGATTGAGAGTATAAAATTCTGCGCATGCGCAAACCACGAGGATTATTTTATCGTTCACCACTCATTATTTTCTGTGTCTGCAGAGATGCAGAGGATGCTGTGTATGGACGAGATGGCTATGATTATGATGGCTATCGTCTACGAGTGGAGTTCCCAAGGAGTGGCAGGGGAGGTGGAAGAGGTGGAGGTGGAGGTGGTGGAGTTGGAGCTCCCAGAGGCAGATATGGCCCTCCATCCAGGCGTTCAGAGTACAGGGTCATAGTGTCAGGTGAGTGGACAGCCATAGTGTCTCGCATCTTTGTCATACAACATAGGGTCCTTTCACGCATAACAGTGTATGGATGTGCACAGACGCCAACATTTTTTTTTTTTTTAGCTTCAGACTAGGCCTGGGCGATAAAACGGTATCGATATTTATCGACGGTGAACCTTCTTCGATAACGTTATAAAAAATTTTTCCGATATAGTGCACGATATAGGCACATGCTATGAGTGACACAGACAGCACACACGAACACATGCTGAATTGAGTGCTGTGCCTGCCTGTGATGAGGAGATTGTCAATTAAAAAAAATGAATATTAGTTGAATTTTAAATAAACATTTGCATTTGAATGTTAGGAGTGCGAGGGAGAGCGTCATCAGTGGAGCACGAGATGCGGTGATGATGATGTAAGTGATGTTGTATTTGAATGTTTTGTTAGTCTAGCCCACGAGATGCGCCGCTGCTGTGTTATGCATTCAAAATATTAGAGAAATATAGAAGCTCAATGCGGAGAAGATCTTGATTAGGTGAAAACCGAAACCAAGCCATTCACACACAACGCATATTCAGCGCATTTTTAGACGGACAAATATGACTGCTGCTGCCATGCAAAGTTAAAACAGTTTAAACTTTTAGAAAACACGTCGCAAATTTGTGGAGTTTTATTCCTTTTCACTGAGTCTCTTATGTTTTTAAATCCAATCTCCGTGTTGGGCGATTCAGCTCTTTGTATTAAGCAATGCATAAATACATGATGCTGTTTTGTTCATAATTGTTTATGTAATTTATGAAATTATATTTGATTTATGAGTTAATTTAGAC